CTCGATGGTCCCTCTTTTCTTTGGGGCGCCAATGCTGTACACCTCCAATATCGACGTTCTTAGGCAAGTCGCAGCCAGCAGCGGCGGAAGAAGCTTCCACAAGTCGGAATCTGCGGGAGAGATATTTACGTGTGTTTCGTTTTGTCCTTTCCCTTGACTGATTGACACTGAGGGCCACGCGAGTAGGCGCTGGGGAATGAACATTGTCGTGGCTGATCATGACGTCTGGAGGAAACACCGACGCATCATGGGCCCTGCTTTCACAAATAAACTGTGAGTGTTTGTATTTCTGTATACTGCCATCGCTTTCGCGCAGCACGTACATGTGCGAGTCTTAATTCCTCATGCACAGATACGATGCGGTTTGGACAGAAAGTTTGAAGACCTACCGTGAAATGGTTGCTGAGGAAGGGTGGAGCACACAGGACCAGATCAATATACCTGCGGCGCAAGCATTGACTGTCAAGGTACGTTAATAATACCGCGTTTTATGTATCTAAGACGTGCGGAGGTCCACTGACTACTACCTGTATACTCTAGTTTGCCCTTCTAATTATCGGAAAGTGTGGCTTTGGGTTTCCATTCAAGTGGGCTGATCCCGCACGGACATCTGATGGGCGCATGTCTGTGCAAGAAGCACTGCGCATCTCAGCAGACTCATTTATTGTCACCCTGTTTACCCCCTGGTGGATGAAGGCGCTGCCGTTCAAAAGGTGAATCTGGCCTTTACTTGTCCCATTTATGTTTTATGTTATTATGCATTTCACTAACCTTCCCAAAAATTTCCGGCATTGTCACGGTATCTCAGATTCACAGAAGCTAGGGAGGCAACGCATGAGCTCAAAACATTCATGCAAGCGCAGGTGGCGGAGCGGAAGGTCGAGATCCGTTCCCAGGGGATCGCAGCACTTGACGTGTTTTCCATGCTGGTTGAAGCCTCGGAGAACGAGGAGGCGAAATACAAATTGGACGACTCGGAGCTGGTACGTGTAATGACTATGCTTACTTATGCACCAGCTGACCAGTTTTGCGTAGATTGGAAATGTGTATATTATGCTATTTGCAGGCCATGGTATGCATCGCATTTCCAAGATCTAAGTTACACTTACACATATCTGTAGAGACCACTGCACGCGCTCTTGCGGCTACAATCGGGCTCCTTTCTATACATCATGAAATACAGGATGAAGTCTATCAACAAATTATATCTGTAGCTGGAAATCAACGGGATCCGGTAAATTTTGTTTCTATTTTTTTTCTGTGTTATTTCAGTTCAACCATTACAAAATAGGTATATGAAGATTATTCCAGGCTCAACAAAGTCCTTGCGGCATTTCTTGAGACTTTGCGAATCTTTCGTATGTAATTTATTACTTGCGGAAATATTAGTGGATAAACACCAACGCACGCCGATTAACTAGCTGCTGCGTATCAACTCGTCAGAGAAGCCTTTGAAGACACCGTATTGCAGGTACCAAACCCATTAGGTGAAGAAGGGGTCACTGCGTTGCCCGTGCCCAAAGGAACCACGGTAAATTCGTCGATAGCCTCTACTACTACTTCAAGGCTGATCACCTCCCGTTCCAGCTGATAGTTGACATGATCGGACTCCGTAAGCACCCCCTCTCACGTCCCGTCATACATGATTCCTAAGTGATTTCACATAGAATACAATCCACGGTACTTTGATTCTCCGGACGAGTACAGGCCATCGCGGTGGTACGACGTCGCACATGACTCCGAGGCCTTTTCGGCATTCAGTATCGGCGAGTCTTCAGCTGAAGTAATATGCTACGTACTCGCTACTAACGCGTTTCTACTATCTGTAGGCCCTCGACAGTGCATCGGCCGTAAATTTGCGACTACAGAGGCTGTAGGATTCCTCACGATGCTTCTGAGGGACTATAAACTGGAGCCAGTGCTTCAAAAGGACGAAACAAAGGAAATATGGAGAAAGAGAGTCCTATCCGCGAAGCTTGAACTCACTCTCGGAGTCGAAGATGTTCCAGTTACCTTTGTTCGTCGAAGGAAACTTGATTAGGTCTGAGCCTGTTGTTCTGTGTCACTCGCATCAATTATGTATGCTTCGGCAAATGTCTTTTCCTGCGATGTAATATCTTATTCTACTTTTCGAAGGGCAATTAAAGACTGAAAAGTATTATTAGCGCTCAAGGGAATCACGGGATTGGGAATCATGGCAGGTGTTCTAGTACTGATATAAACCTTGCCTTCATTTACTATCAAGCTTGATATGTTGCTTGCATAACGCCAACAGTCATGTCTACCACCGCTGACAGAAGCGTCTATGATGCTAACACAGTTCAATCCTTACGAAGCGTCCATATGAGCATCCCAGCTTTCGTCTTCACTGTCCTCTTACTATTGCTTGCTTCCAAAGCAGCTTCTTATCGACGCGGACTCCAAGTAAGTATTACAACCTTGTCACTTATCTCAAGTTCCGGGACGATTTTGATATTAAATTTTGAAGGCAGTGAACCACTTACCAGGGCTTCGCGTTCCCTTTCACCCAACATTAAGCTTACCTGGTGTCGTATTTCCAACGACGTGGTGGAACCCTGGCATCAACTTCCTGTGGCATTGGCGCCATAAGGGTGAGAATATTGAACTAAATTCTGTTGTCTGACCTTGACATAAAAATTCCAAGTTTATACGCAGTTCGGAAATGACACTATCTCAATTGTACCGTTTCTTCTTGGCCCACCGACAATCTATACTGGAAATCTCGACGTGATTCACCAGCTTTTGGCGAGCAATAGTTCGAAGAGCTTCCACAAACCTGATGCTTCCGTTCAGCTATTTCTGTGTGTAACCTTATGTTTTATTTCTTGTCCTCGAGCTCGAACTGATAACCGTCAACATAGCCAGTGGGGAATGAACCTCCTTATCGCCGACCGAGATGTCTGGAGAAAACACCGTCGCATCATGGGACCTGCGTTTAATTCTAAATTGTTCGTCAACCTATTGCGTTTGGAATATAACTGATATATTTCATGTCACGCAAAGATATGAGTCCGTTTGGGTAGAAACTCTCAAGACCTACTGTGAAATGGTATCTGAAGAGGGATGGATCTCAAAAGATCGTGTCAATGTCTCCGCGGTGCAAACCTTGTCTACAAAAGTGAGTTCAATCCTGACTGTTTGTGCGTTTTTCCCTGTTAAATTACCAAAAATTCAGTTCGCACTTCTAATCATAGGAAAGTGTGGCTTTGGGTTTTCATTCGGCTGGTCCGACCCACCACGCACTGCAGACGGGAGGATGACTGTTCAGCAAGCGCTGCGTATCGCAGCAGATACTTTCGCCATCTCAACATTTGCCCCTCTATGGATGCGTAAATTACCTGTCAAAATGTGAATGCTCTGAGCAGAATGATCTTCCCCAAGATCACTCAGTGTAGTTCTAACCAGATCTCGTTAAATTCTCCCTAGATTCAAGGAAGCTTGGGAAGCACGACAGGAACTTATGAAGTTCATGCAGGAGAGTGTGGCAGACCGGAAGGCGGGCATCAACGCTAGAGGGTCTGTGGAATTGGACAGGGACCGCGACGCATTCTCTATGCTCGTAGCAGCCAGCGAATGCGAAGATGATAAATTGAAGCTAGACGACTCGGAACTTGTGAGTACGCAAGCTTTCTTCATAGCTATATACGAGTGCTGAGAGGATTTGTTCAGATTGGAAATGTGTTCATAATGCTGTTTGCAGGCCACGGTGGGCATAATTTGACTGGAATTTTGTCGTACACTTCAGAATTAAATTATTTCTGTCAGAGACCACTGCTCGCAGTATCGCAATAACAATTGCGCTTCTTTCTGTTCACGATGACTTACAAGAAGAAATATATGAGCATATAATATCGGTGATTGGGTTTGAACGAGATCCAGTGAGTTGTGGTACTACTTACCTTTCAAATTTCTAAGTGTCATGATGTCGTGCAGGTATACGATGATTATACAACATTGAACAAAGTTCTTGCTGCGTTCTTCGAATCCCTGCGGATGTTCCGTACGTTAACTATCAATCTTGCATCTCATTTTACATACACACTCACATACATGTGCATCCCAGCTCCTGCCTATATCATGCTTCGGGAAGCGTCCGAAGACACAATTTTGCAGATATCCAAACCAAAAGGAGAGGAGGGTGTGATGTCCCTGCCTATTTCCAAAGGTACTCAGGTGATTACTCTCGGGATCTAATCACAGTGCACACATTTACTCTGAAACTCTTCTAGATAGTTCTCGACCTGATTGGAGCACGTAAGTGACCAATTCTCTACTCAGAAATAAATTGTTCATACCAAACACCAGACTACAATCATCGCCAGTTCGATGACCCTGAAGAGTACAGGCCATCGAGGTGGTATGGTACTTCGAATGATTCGGAGACTTTTTACGCTTTCAGTGTAGGCGAGTATACTGTTATATAAGCTATTTACTTGTTACTAAACAGTAAACTACTCTACTTTTCCCTACTAGGGCCTCGTACGTGCATTGGGAGGAAATTCGCTACCACCGAGGTTGTCTGCTTCTTCACAATGCTCCTGAGAGACTATAAGGTAGAGCCAATTCTGGACAAAGGAGAAACAAAAGAGCAATGGAGGGAGAGAATACTATGTGCTAACCTTGAAGTCACCCTCGGGGTCAGGGATGTCCCCGTTACGTTTATTCGTCGGAACTTGAGCGGAGACTACTAGTAGTAATACCAGGCTCTTGAAGTTGGTACTACAGGCTATATTGTAGTATCTGTCATTGACAATTAGGATTTACGATATGTTTAAAATACTATATCTTTGAAAATTGAGCCTCGGTGCAGAGAGCCAGACTACGGAGACCGAGGGTAGAGCAACGGTCTCAAGAGGCACTAGTCAACTAGTCAAGAGTTAGGCCATTAGGAGTCAGGACAAGGACTCGGAGAGAAAAAATGGATTTGAACCGGTGGAGGATGCAAATTTTTATCTAAAAAGTTCGGATTATAACCAGTTAGCCCACCGCGAGGGTCGAACTCGCAGCCTTCAGATAATTTGTAGGTTGGTCGCCCTGCCTTAAGAGTCTGACGCTCTATCCGATTGAGCTAGGCAGGCGATGTACAATTTTGCATAGGCGCCCACCCGGCCGTCATCCGTGCCGAATCCGTATTTAGGGATTATGATGTAATTAGTGGCACTTGTGAAATCTAACGTTTAGGCAATGCTTACGACAAGCTTACGACGGCTTGTCTCGCTCTTCACCTAAGAGGGAACAAATCCAACATGTGGAGTAAGCCGGTACTCAGTCATTCCCTCGATCCATGTTTGGCGACCTAGGTGCATATTTAGCTACGATTTAGTGATCAAGAGAACAATATGAGCAAAGTATGAGTCGTCGCTCCATGATGTCACAGGGTGGTCATCCACCTCGCACAATATAAGGCATTTGACTCAATTTAGTTACCCTCTCTGATTCTACACCTCCTAAGCATATAATCTTACTGTATAAACACAATGCAAGCTGCTGCCAACGCTGCTCAAAGTGTAGGTCGTCTTGATTCAACATGCATGATATCATCCACATCGCTTAATGCTGTATATTCAGTATCTTGGAACTATCGGAACAGAGGTTCATCCAGAATATGAACCCGCGTCGGATGGCTCTCGGATGCGAGCCCTGGCGTGGTTTGGAAATAAAGACGTGCGCATGGTCGACGCCCCGGTACCCGCCATCACAGAGCCCGAAGATGTCATCGTGAGAGTCACTGGGACAACCATATGTGGTTCGGATCTCCATTTGTAGGCATATGATTGCAAGTTACTTTGCAGATGTCTGATTTTACGAAGATATCATGCCGAAATTATGGCGATGCAGAAGGGGGACATCCTAGGCCACGAGGTAAGTTCTATTCATTGGCCATTCACAATTCATCATGCGCTTATACAGACATGCCTTCGCATATCAGTTCATGGGAGTTGTCGACAAAGTCGGGCCTATGGTGTCCCACATCCGCCCTGGCCAGCGTGTCGTGGCATCCTTCCAAATTGCTTGCGGAAACTGCGAATACTGCAAAAAAAAGCTGTCATCATTCTGCGATAGGACGAACAATTCCTCGTATGCCACTTTCACTTACGTACCTTATGTTGCATGATATTAAGTATTGATTAATCGCTTTCAGACTACAAAATGCTATGTATGGTCAACGCGACGCAGGCTTCTTTGGCTACTCCCATTTTACAGGAGGCTTCCCTGGCGGACAGGCGGAGTTTGTCCGCGTGCCGAAGGGAGACGTTAACCTTTTGCCAATTCCCGATGGCGTTTCCGATGAAAAAGCGATTTATCTCTCAGACATCCTTCCCACTAGCTACCATGCCGTTGTCGATACGGGCGTGGAAGAGGGGGATGTTGTTGGGGTCTGGGTACGTCCATCATTTCTCCTTATTCGTATTTCTGACACTGGAATATTTTATGTAGGGTTTGGGACCAATCGGAATGTATGCCGCCCGTTGGTGCCAGCTCAAGGGCGCGTCGCGGATCATCGCCATCGATAGAGTCCCCGAGCGTCTAAAGTTCGCGGAAGAAAAGTTGGGAATCGAAACCATTGATTTTTCTCAGCACTCGGATGTCACGAAACGGATATATGAGCTCGTTCCCCGTGGCTTAGATGTAGCATTGGATTGTGGTAATTATCTCATCAAACAGTTTATTCCCATACTTAGTAAAGGTCGTACTAGGAACCTTCCACGAGCCCAAGACGGTGCTTCACAAAGTCCAGAAATTGATGATGCTCGAAACAGATTCTCCAGAAACTTTGAATGAAATGATTGTATCCGTCAGGAAACAGGGCAAGTGCGGAATTATTGCGGCGTACGCTGGATTTGCAAACGGTGTCAACGTTGGTGCTCTCATGGAAAAGGGAGTGAGGTGTGTTCTATCCAGCACTACAAATTAAGGTCGAAGTTCGAAATGACATGGCATCAATAAGGCTCATCGGAAATGGGCAGGCGCCCGTCCACCTTTATTGGGAGGAAATTCTTCACAATTACATCATGACCGGCAAATTTGATCCTACGTTGTACGTCGAACATCTTCATATTAGCAGTAACTGAGTTTAGTTTTCATAGCATAATAACCCATCGCGTTCCGCTCGAGGATATGCCACAGCTGTACGACGCGTTCGACAAACGCTTGTCTGGGGTAGAGAAAGTGTTTGTTGAGACTCGGTTCTCTTCCGAGCCTAGTGAAGGCTGTCCATCCCTCACCCGTGTGGATGATTGGAATTAGATAAACCGAAGGCTAGCGCCTATCCGCCTATATATAATAATGTACATTTCCCTGATTCTCATTTTTGTGTGATTTTACGACTTGAATAAGCCACACAGTAATCAAACAATAGTCCAATATTGTATTATCTGAAGGCGCTCGAGTCTGAACGTTTGAACATTGAAGCTACGACTTGAAGAACGACAAAACTGTGATAATAATCTAAAAGGTATCAATTTCGCATATCTTGCGCATCGTTGGCACAACGAGGAAAGCTCGAATTTTGAAGCTAATAACAAGCTAATAATAGTACGACGACGGAGCTGGCGCGATCACATGCCGGCCGTATTAGTCCGAGTGGCTCTGCGCCGCGTCAATCGCCGCTTGCACCAGGCCACATACTTCAAACAAGTCACCAATCTGTTGCAAAGCAAATGGCCTTCAAATGGCCACCGCTTTGAAGAACACCAAATATGGACCGGATTATGCGAACTCCGTTATTCCCTGGCACTCCACCCAGTTGGCAATCGAAATTTACTCCTGCATTGAACCAAAAGGTGAGTGAATCGTGCATGGTTCAAGCTCAAGCTTCAAGCTGAAGAAATATACTTAGATGTTTCAACTTTGTCGCGGAATCTCCACGATCACTGATTCTACGACTACCCCCTCGATCCATGTGGCAGAAGTAAATTCCATTGTTCAATGCCACCTCGCTTGCAGTCATTTGTTATATATAAAGCGCCATGAAAGGTTGTGTTGCCACAGACTCGAAGCCCGCACTGGACCTACCGTAACTTGAATTTGAACTCCTGCCCAAGGTACGCAGGCATTCCATGTTGCTCATTGGCGAAGATGTGATATCCTTTGTTCAGGCCCAGGGCCCGTCAAGATGGCTCCACCACGGCCATTAATGAACCACAGTTCCACCCCACTGAGCAACAAAGAAATCACGAGCTTCCAAAGACGGGTTGCGGACATCAACAATGCGTTGCAGATTATACGACTCGAAACGGCTGATTCTGGGATTGCTACTGTTCAGGTGGAAAAACTTCTTCGAATGCGTAGACACGCGTATGTCACCTCCCTTTCGCTGGTGCGCCGTATTCCTCCCGAAGTTTGGGAGAGAATATTCCTCCTTATACCGGAGGAGTTTATCGTGGTTTCCCGAGTATGTCGATTCTGGCGAAGGGTCGCTGTCAGCATCCCTAGCCTATGGCCAAATGACTTGCTCGTATATCTGACGCCCCATGAAAAAGACTCCCATCGGCCCATGATATCTCGTTTCCTCAGGACGCCCCACGAGCCTGCCATGTCTGCTTGCATCCTTAGCCGAAAAAACGCCCCTCTACCCTCAAATATTAAAATTATACTCAATCTTCGCGACGTTGCCTGGAGGGTGCCTTTGAAGCGGCTCTTTGTCGTGCCTGAGTTTGTGCGACAACTTTTTGGCGCCGACTATGTCCACAAGAAGTATTGGGGCTCACTCAAGGAGCTGGTCATTGACCGGTCGGAAAGCCAGGGCGGATCGATTGCCTCCTTGCGTGAAACCGACCCAATAACATTGACACATTTATCCGCCCTCACCCACCTGACTATCAACCTGAAGAACCGTATCACCCGTTTATCCATTCAAGCACCCTGGAACCAGCTCGAGTATCTCCATCTTGATGGAGGCTATTCAGATGCTATCGACTGCGTCTGGATCGTCGTCTCCTGTCCCCAGCTCAGGACTTTAATTCTAGCCTGCCGGCGGACGATTCAACGGCGTTCTCGATCGACGAAGAGAGTTATCCTCCACAGCTTGCGCACGCTGATCCTCATGGGCGGCGACGACATCACCGCCATGCTCTCGCACTTCCAGATGCCGGTGCTGAAGTTCCTCCGTCTTGCCGCGCAGGTTTTCTCCCGGTCGAAAGCGCACAACCGCTACCAGGACTCCGCGGAGGATATCACGCACTTCGTCAAGGCGTCCGCGTGCACACTGATCCAGCTCGAGCTACACTCCGTTGCGCTCGTCGACTTCGAGATCCCGAACTGCTTCCGCGCGATGCCCGGCCTCGACTTTCTGCGCCTCGTGGACGACGGGGGCATGCCGGACGTGCTGGAGTGTTTGCGCACGGCGCACCGCGAAAGCCACGCGGAGGACATGCCCGTGCACCTCCTGCCGAAGCTCAGGGCGCTGCTCGTCGATACGGCCGTCCCGGAGCACTGGCCACGGGAGTTATTCAATGCGATGTGCCACCTGCGGTCGACGATCTACATCCGCGGCTGCGAAGGCTCCCGGCTGGTGACGGCGAGCCTGACGCACAGGACAGAGCCCTTCAGGGTCAATTCCGAGTTGTCGAGCTTCGTGCGCTCGTTGGCACCATTCGAGGGCATCAATCTTCAACTGCCGTATGTCAAGGCGACGCGTAAAGCAGGCGCACGCAAATGAGCCCCAGTTAGATATTTATGCGCACTGTAGAGTACGATGTATCACGGTCTTTTAGAACACTCGCTATATCATACACAACGACTATTTGTCAGGACCATTTGTCAGGACCTGATTCGGCGGCGGAGGAAAACCCCAGCTCTCGAGGAAAACCTGGACGTAATATGAAGGGCTATGCTTGGTCCACGCCTATTGGGAGGAGATATCCCTAAGTATCCACCATCGAATGGGCATCACGAATCGCGATATTGCAGCCCTCGAAATTTAGTGCCGAAGCGACGAAAACGAATTGGCAATGACCTGGAACGTCAGGTCGGATGGCGTGTATGGGCGGATAATCGCATCCTGTCCCACTCGTGACCGACCATTCTCACAAAGTGGGACCAATAACCGGCGCCCATACCGCGTTCAGCGTGATAT